AAAGAACGGATCTGCAAGGTGCGGCAATGCGACAGATTGTATCCGCAGTGAGTGTTGGAGATGATGGCGGGAAAGGTTACTGTCACCCTGCTCTCTGAGCCAGCGCCAGGTCTCCTCTCCCGTGCCAGCCGCCAGCCTATGACTCCCTGAGACCCCAGAGCATCCCGTGTCACCCTGGTACCCCAGAGAATGCTGTGACCTCCATTGACCTCAGAGCATCCTGCCACCCAATGATCCCAAAACAATCTGTGTCACCCAGTGACCCCCAAGTATGTGACATCCAATGACCTCCAGAGCATCCTGTGACTTCCAGTGACCCCAGAAGATCCTGTGTTATCCAATGACCCCCAAGCATCTTGTGTCACTCAATGAACCCCCAGAGCATCCTGTGTCACCCATTGTCCCCAGAGCATCCCGTGTCACCCAATGTCCCCAGAGCATAAGTACCTTTGCAGATCAAATGTATTGTTTTGTAAGTGTTATGGCCACTAGATGGAGCTGAGGAGCATCTTTGCAGGTCGAATGTATTGACATGTAATACTTTATTATGGCCACTAGATGGGGCTGAGGAGCATCTTCGCAGGTCGAATGTATTGTCATGCAATACTTTATTATGAAACTAAACTTTCAAATTATGCAGCGCCCGCAACATATAACGTGTTAATATCATAAACCATGAAATCAAATAAATATATGTGACTCAAATGTATAAACTATAATAGTATAATGCACACATGAATGTTAGTAACTTAAAGTCTTTCTAAAAAACCATCATTGGCCCTGGATCATTGATCCCACAGGGTATGTGAACCAATTGTTGTTAGTGACAACCACCGTATAATTGTTGAATGATGTGTCAAATCCAAAGAGGACTGTTCAAAAAGTATTCGAAAAAATATTCAAAAAAAAGGTGTTCAAAAGAAGTTCCGTGAACTATGTTGGGGATAGGGGTTACTACCACATATATCCCCTCGAAAGGTGCACTCACCGTGAGGTAGTGGCTGTGATAAGCAGCCGGAAACGCTCAGACAGAAGCTCTCAGGACCGCAGCATCGATCCATCTAGTGGCCATCATTCAACAATTATACGGTGGTTGTCACTAACAACAATTGGTTCACATACCCTGTGGGATCAATGATCCTAACGGTCGTTTTGCTGCAGCCTTCAAATTAAATTTGCACTTTAGCACTTAAACATCTTTATAGGTCCAGCGCAGAATCATTAAAATCTATAATACTTTATACTTTGGGGCTGAGGAGCATCTTCGCAGGTCGAATGTATTGTCATGTAATACTTTATTATGGCCACTAGATGGGGCTGAGGAGCATCTTTGCAGGTCGAATGTATTGACATGTAATACTTTATTATGGCCACTAGATGGGGCATCTTTGCAGGTCGAATGTATTGTCATGTAATACTTTATTATGGCCACTAGATGGAGCTGAAGAGCATAAGAATGAAGGATTTATACAGCAGCTGACAGGAGAAGTGAGCAGGGAGATGAGTTAATCAGTCTGTTGCTCCTTCTCTGTCCACTCACAGGAGGAGGGCGGAGAGGTGACCCGGCTTCATTGCTCTAACCCAAGCAGAGAAAAGTTTGGTCACCAGGCTGACTGTGTTCATTCAAGGTCATAGAGCTCTCCTCTGCTGCCGGAATCGGCCTCACATACAATGCCAAAGACAAGAGTCAGTCTAATTCCCAAAGTCCTTTCAGTTTAAGGTGATTAAATCCCTGATGAAGGGGAGGGGGGGTCATAACGCACGGGCTGTTCAAGGTCCATGTCAACATGAGTGACTTGAACCGTGTGTGAGCTCTCTGATGTCACGCCGCACCTACATTCACATATGACATGTGCATGAGCACGTGCAGAAGTGTTTCCTTTTCATGCGATGTGCAATAAGCGTGCGTCGTGTGTGCGGGGCCGCTAATTGCTGATAACTCAGACTGCTGCGTGAGCTTCTTCGCCACGTGCAGGGCGGCCCATTGAAATGAACGAGCTGCCCATTGGCTGGAGTGCGGGAAAGGCGTCACATGTTGTATTCACGCAGCAAGTGAGAACGGGGAACCAAAAGTTCAGTTTTATCGTCACTCTGCAATCCGGGATGACGAACGATCGTCGGCCCCCAATGGCGGCAATTCACAAAACTGCACCAAGCGCTTTACTCCCATCAAACAGCTCATAAAAATCGATATCACATCGGCGGGAAATGAGCACGTGACATGTAAACGCAATCACCGGAGACTAAAAGGGTCTATAATACAAAGTGCTTTAGCACTCCGGGGAGAGGGGGGGGGAGCTGAGCTGCTGAGTCACTGCAGGGAGGGGGAAGCTGAGCTGCTGAGTCACTGCTGGGAGGGGGAAGCTGAGCTGCTGAGTCACTGCAGGGAGGGGGAAGCTGAGCTGCTGAGTCACTGCTAGAAGGGGGAACAGGGAGAGCTGAGCTGCTGAGTCACTGCTGGGAGGGGGAAGCTGAGCTGCTGAGTCTCTGCTGGGAGGGGGAAGCTGAGCTGCTGAGTCTCTGCTGGAAGGGGGAAGCTGAGCTGCTGAGTCTCTGCTGGGAGGGGGGAGCCGAGCTGCTGAGTCTCTGCTTGAAGGGGGAAGCTGAGCTGCTGAGTCTCTGCTTGAAGGGGGAAGCTGAGCTGCTGAGTCTCTGCTGGAAGGAGGAACAGGGGGAGCCGAGCTCCTGAGTCACTGCTGGGACGGGGAAGCTGAGCTCCTGAGTCACTGCTCGGAGGGGGAAGCTGAGCTGCTGAGTCTCTGCTGGGAGGGGGAACAGGGAGAGCCGAGCTGCTGAGTCACTGCTCGGAGGGGGAAGCTGAGCTGCTGAGTCTCTGCTGCGAGGGGGAACAGGGAGAGCCGAGCTGCTGACACGGATGATTCCTGGTTACAGTGATATTAAACTCATATGTTTTTAAGTTACTTTAAATGCTGATGAAATCACTTACAATGGATGCGGCTTGTTGATGTTTAAAAGTTTTACTTTCCTGCAGAATCAGCCGGTCCCGTGAGCTCTGGTCCTATCTTCTTGTTTTATTGTGACTCCTTTCCCTCTGCAGGGTCCTATGCCGCCACCCTTGTGTGTGCCAATAAGCTGTGTGTGTGTCTCCTCAAACACACATGAACAGCAAGGCAAGCCGCTCCCCTCCTCCTTCTCCAAGCTAGCACATGGAGGCCGCTGGGGACTGCTCTGTCCCTTGTGATCTTGTACTGGACAGGAAGTTCAGGGAAGCCGAGCTGAGAGAGTTGGAGATGATCAGAAACATGATGACTGTCCGTGCTTGGTCAAAAATGTAATGCAATACGTTGCTGGGCGATCGCCCCGGCTGCGGCGTCTCAGTATACCGCGAGCTGTAGCTCCCTATATACTGAGCTTAGGGTGACGGGATGACGCTAGTTTGTGTCCTCCCGTGACCCTGGGGAGAACCCCTGACCCCATAGTTCTCCTTTAATATCACTTTATGTAACAAGAGATAATAGAAAGATGAAGTGAAAACACTGACATATCCCCATCTCATCATTAGATACAATGTAATCTTGGGGAGCTCTGAACATTGATACACGCGGCTGGAACACAATTTTAAAGGCAACTCCACCCAAAGCTGACCTCTTAAGGTGCCCATACACTGCACGATTCTTCTCATACGAGAATTGCGGGAAATCCCACGATCGTACGAGAATCGCGCAGTGTGAATGAAGACGTGCGACCGTTTCTACTGTACGGTCGCACGTCTTTTGTCTAAGGAGCACGCTAGAAAACCAGCCGAAAATCTTACGATTCTTTCGACCCTCAGGGGGGCGGGCTTGCATTTATCGCAAGTACGATCTGCCTGTCCATACGTTTTTTTAATTACTTCACAATGGTTGTAAAGTGTATGGCCACCTTTAGCTTGCTGCAGTCACAGGCATGCCGAATCACACGTTGGCTTATTACATTTCCCCCGGCACTGTGCCACACCACCGCAATGACAGACAATGGTATCACTCTCATTAAAAGCGCGCCGTAGGGCCTGGATTGTGGGCGGGGCAGAGGCACGGAACCCTCTGATGGGAAATCTCTCCGTCCCAGTACGCAGCCAGTGATCCGTTCACCCCAGCCAGTGTCCACCCATAACAGTTCACGTTTATGAAGACGCCTCTCTGGGCAGGGAAGAGTGAATGATCTATTCTGCCCGGCACAGCAAATTGTTTTATCTCCTCTTCTCATTTACTCTAGCGGGTTTTTATTACCCCGGAGAAGTTCCGAGCCGCTATCAGCTCGCTGATTTCTCCATAAAACAATGAGGAGAGTTATTGTTCCCGCCGATTGGAGGCTTTGTCTCCGTTTGTGACGTACCGAGGGCTGAAATGTGTCCCATTAAGACAAGAGAAAAAAAACAACAGCCATTGGGATGCTGATGCTGTTGCCGGGCAACGGTGTACGAGGGTCTGTGTGTGTGTGTGTCTCTCTCTCTCTCGCATTCCACGTGTGTCTCTCACTATAAAGCCGCGGAGAGTTGTCAGTCCCCCCAGTTCGGAGCGGAGGCAGAGGGTGCAGGTCGAAGCTCGCAGCATGTTCTCCAACAGACGCTCACCAAGGGGGTAACGACCAATCGGCGACCTGCCTGGGGGACATGTGATTGATCCGGATTTCTTTTTGGCTTCGCGGTGACCCTTGGAGTTAAGCCGAGGTCTGCCGCTTCCACGACCACGGTGGCTTTCGTTTGACTTTTTGAAAATGTTTGTCTAAGGCGAAGAGGATTGCGCAGCGCGCACCGTCGTCATCCAACGTCGCTGGGTTTCCGAGCAAATTTGTTTCAT